GGTTGTTGTTGTTGTTGTTGCTGCTGTTGCTGTTGCTGTTGTTGTTAACAGAGGGATACAGTACCAGTACTTTAAAAGTGCAACAGCTACATACTACAAAAGGTCCACCTTGGAATGACCAGCTTGATAGTTGATGGATCCCTTGCAACTTCCTCCACAGTGTTTGAATCAACTCAAAACCCAAACCTACAGACTGTTGCACCTTTGCTCGATGAGTGATATGATAAGATCAGATCATTGCTGTGAAGTGACCTCATGTGAGCAGTTTGTCCACCACTGGGGTCCCAGTCATACTCATCTTCCGCACCAAGGAGGTGGCCTCCCTCCTCTCCAATGCCATTCGCTTGTTATCCCTCCACAAGGCGGCACTTGCACGGGCGGCGCAGGAGGCGATGGAGAGCAAAAGCCAAACTGAGTGCCTCAGCAGTGAAGTTGTTGCGAAGTGATACCTTGATCGGGGTTCACTCTTGTCGAACAAATAGGATCAAACACAGGATCGAATAGGGTGATTTGGAGTCAATTGAAAGATTGCCAACCCCCAGGTATTTGCAGGCGATCCTGGACGAGAGCCTCCGTCTTTTGCCACCGGCAGGGGGCGGCTTTCGGCTAGCTGAGGAGGATCTGAACATAGGCGGGGGGCAACCTCCATAATGTGTGAGGATTTGTGGCCGATGGAACAGGGCGAATTCTGCGGACTAGAATGCAGCAAATGCACCTGGTCGACTTGCACTTTAGTTTTGTGGGTAGACCACTTCACATTGTTCGGCGAATGTGTGTGAATAACTCAAGTTGTGCCAGCATGTTACAACAGATTGTGACAGATTGAGTATTTCTGGGCTGTTACCGTTTCCATGAGGCCATGAGACTTGATCTAAAAAACAATAAACAGGTCCTGGAAGATTCGCCCAAGTCACCATGTGTCCTGGGACCCTAAACGGCACCTAAGGATCACCTCTCTCCACGAATGAGGCAGGCATCAAGGCTAACTACCTTTCCTGCAGCTTTCATAGAGTCCTGATTCTGGTGCGTCATAGTGCTTGACTCTCAGCGCTCAAAGACTTAAGGGCCCTGTCCTGCATACTCTTGCAAAGGTCCTGACGACCGTACACTGCACTAGAACGTTGAGCAAAACAGCTTCTTGACCCTTCACATTGCGTCTGTTTCCTGAGGTATGGGTTATGGGACCCTGCAATTTTTTTCTTGCTGTTTTTGTTTCATAAGCTTGTTTCATACCTCTGTTTTCTCAGGATAGGTTCCTTATGTGTCTCCATCCTTCAAGATTCTTCATGCCTCCATTTCTTGATTGTTTGAAGCTTTAAGTTGGTCATTGCTGAGACCCAAGAGCCACCAATGAAGCCAGCAATCAAACTTTCTAGCATCGCTCCCGATGCCCGCTCCTCGACAGGCGGCTACCGGGTGCCCAAAGGCTTCGTGGTGTCCGCGGACCCGCGGATCTCCAACCGAGACCCCGAACTCCATGCAGACTCCGCAGCTGGGACCAAGTGTGAGCTGACACAAGAGGAAAATACCGTTTTTGTGGACGTCCTTTGGCATGTCATGTGTTTTCTACTTGGAAAGCTTGACCTGATGCAGGTTTCGGGTCCACCTACTGTACCAAATCGTTTTGTTTGATGTGTTTGATCTTTTGGAGAGAAACTTCTTTGCTTCAGAAATCGATTGGGAGGCTTGCGGAACAGCGGGGCAACGGAAATCGGATCCAAGATACTATATATATATACTGTATATATATATATAAGTACACATAAGTAAAATAATTACCAAGGGAGACCCTAGGGCTATCGCAGTGTGAGAGGCAGATCTGTTGAGTCGCAGGATTCTCTTGGGAAATTTGCAAAGGTACAGTAATTGTTTGTTTTCCGGTGGATCTACCAGATGTGTATCATATATAGTAAATATTATATGTATATATTATATATATTATATTTATATAGTCTTCTCCAAAATTCTATCGTATGGTCCCCACTTGACACTTGCGATTGCTCCAGGATAGTTTCAAGCCCGAGCGATTTCTGGAGAGGCGAGGTCGGACCAGCAGACACGGCGAGGTCGGACGCTATCGTTTGGTTTGGGAAGATAGCAAGCCGCTAGAGGTAGCTAGTAGTAGCTAGGTTTTAGGGGGGGTAGGCCGTAGAGGGAGGTAGTGGCTAGAGGTAGCTAGTAGCTTAAGTAGCTACTAGCATGGACGCAGGACAGCTCACGCTTCTTAAAGGAAAGGCGGCGGGGGGGCTTCCTTGAAGAAGCGCTCGCACTATTCACTTGGTTCCTAGATTTTTAGGGAAACCTAACTTGAATGAAACAAAAGGAATCGAGTCTACACATGAAAGGACAATTTTTACGATTATGTATTCGATATAGTGTCATGCGTCCATGTCTCTCGCAGCAAATCAAAGAAAGGATGGAAGCACCCTGCAGACGTCCACTTGCGATTTGGAGTTCCTCGGCTTCCTTTGACACTACCCAGGAGTCGATCATCAATCCTATTGATTCTGTGCACATTGGACATGTATTGTGCACACAGTTATGCATAGATGACGCAAGACCTACCACAACAACTGGCATTCTTCCTGGTCTTGAAGACTCCAGTGAACGGCTATCACCCGCCATTCCTTCGGCCCAATACAGGCCGACGCGGCAAATGCCCCAGGGCAGCTGGTTCCCCGGGGGCATCGGCCTGCACGGCTGTCCGGGCATTCCTTTGGCCATGCTAGTTTCCAAGGTGAGCAGAAGAAAGGGCCAGTGGGATTGGGCGAAGTAGGCTGCGCACTAGCTTCTGACGCAAATGTTTGTGCGTGGGTCACCAAAACGATTGATAAGTTTGGGATAGTTTGGGTGCAATCCAAAATGCTAGAATGACCGTTTAGAGAAATGTGCGTCAAAGGCGAGAGATTGCGGAAGGTCACAGGAACGCATCATGAGGAAGAATGGCCAACGACTGTGTTCGGGCTTCATGGAGACTTCACAGTGTATCGCCATTAGGTTGGAGGCCATCGCTAGTAGGTTGATCTTTTTATCGGCGACCTCAGAAGAACGTCCTTTTGTTTGGTCCGTGTGACCGTTGCAGGTCTTCTTGGGCACCTGGTTACGGCGGTTTAAGGAGTGGCGTGCGGTGAGCAGCAAGGTGCGCTGTTTGGTGATGCCTTTAATAGCGCAGCGTGTTTCTGCGGATCTTGGGACTTAGAAACTTAGGTATGTAGCATGAACATCCAAGATCTTTGTGGCCAAAATCGGGATTCAGCCTTTAAGAAGCATTTCTAGGCTGACTTCGTGACCATTCCCATCCGCATCTTGGGGGACAAGTATGAAGTTGAGGTCAGTCCTCGATAAAGCTGCTTGGATGTGACTCAAGAAACGGAAGGGGATGGTCCTCGGATGGTGGAAATCAAAGACGCTTAAAGGTTATGTGGGAATGTGCAGGACAAGATATGGGAGACTCCGCCAATTGTCCACTCAACTGTTCTCACAGCACAATCATTTGATCATATTTGATCCGTGTGCCATATTTCATAGAGACCTCTATGTCGGCTTGAAAAAGAATATAACCTACTGCGGGTCTAGGATCCTTTTCCAGACTAGATTGCGCATAAATGTTGATGCTGCCTTCGCATGTGATCACTGCATTGGTCTTAGTCTTGGTCCATGCTTTTAATGTTGTTCTCTGGTGGAAGGGACCTAGACGTGCATGACACGTCTACAAGTCTGAGACCACAGTGGCCACCTTTTCCCGCTTGCAAAATGATGTTGCGGATCATTGCAAGTTCTGACCCTCTGATGGTTTGAGGCTCTCATCCAGTGGCGAACAAGGTCATCCTCCGCATGGGACATTCGGATATTCTGCATTGACCTTCGGGGGGGATTATATTTTCCACGTCAATTCCGGCACAGATCATTGTGGTGACCGATGAGTGACCAAAAGTACTGGGTACGGCACCAAAACGTTTGGCACCCACCATTCGTGTGTAGAATCTTGAGTCGTGAGTCAACAAAACGAAGCTGGTGCTCCAAAACCGAGTACCAGCTGCCGATCCAAATGCCAGTTTTTGATGCTGAAGTACCACGAATGCATGAGCCAAAGGACGTTTCATCGAAGAAGCGAGGCAAGGACAAGGTAAGCATCATTCCTGGAAGATGGACCGTGATTCCGTTCCCATCCGTCGTCGAATAAGAAGTCACCATAAGTCACCCTTTGAGAAGGAATATCATCAACCCCGATGCTCTTGTGAGCTCAGGTGGCATTTGCAGCGGTCAAGTGACCAGTAGACGAGAAAGACAAGAAGAAACTATCTGAACCTCTCAGCTGAGGAGAGCCAGGAGATCACATGACATGCTTTGGGTAGGAGAGCCAGGGAGCCCGAGGTGTGAAAAAAGCGGTGGAAGACAAAGAAGGCAAAGCTGCAGCTGGAAGTTCAATCAAGCTGTTTCTTGGCTTTTCTTTGGGTTGTCTGCTTGGATGGGAACTGGATAGGTCATCCCAATGAATAGACGATCTCTCCTTGCAATGAAACATGTTCATCAGTCCATCAGTCCATATCAGTCCTATAGACTTGATATAATATGGGGCGTTGATCCTTTGCTTTTTGGATTGTATATTCCCTCGATTGTGTGGCTTTTTGGCTCAGCTTCAGATCGGTGTCACAGCGATAGACACCAAACGACCGAAGGACGAGGGGGTATAAATTAGACCCTGATTATTTGAATTCTATTCCATAAAGGTGCAGGAAGGAATTTGCAATCTTTAAGGATCCCAATCTGTCGAGCATCGGAGCTTTACGCCCGTGTGAGATGTTCTTTTGAAGCGTTTACACCTCAGACCTGAGATGCCAGACATTCGCTCACTACCCCAGTCAATCCCATACTTTACCTCCACAAACTCTTGACACGATTCCCAGGCAGAGGCTTCCCAGCTTAGTCCCAAGATGTCCCAAGTATTTGTGATTTGCAAGCAGAACCACGACAAGGCGGGCCAATCAGAACAGAACCAAGTTTACCAAAGCCCCCTTGGATACATCCTGCTCACTCCCGTGCCACGCTATGCGGCAGCCGCGGGGCAGCACGGGGATTGTGATGCAAATCCTCTCGCAGCAGCATTCTGGGAAAGTTCTGAGTGTTTGGGTCCGAACGATCCTTTCGCTGAGGGCTGGCTGTGATTCAATGGGTGTTGGCTACAACTACTAGTAGCAAGAAGTTACTAGTACCAAGTGCATTACTAGTAGCAAGAAGCTACTAGGAACAAGTGCATCGCTACTAGTAACAAGTGCCCTGATTCGTCCATCGGATCCAACATCCGAGGCGCCGCCCTTTGCCACAACCGGATGAAGGACTTGATTGACGTTGGCTGCTGTAGGTCTCAGCTAGATACGTGGCATTGGGATACGTATCATTCATCGTTGAAACCCTGCAGAGGAGGGACACGCGGGTGGTGAAATTTGACACATGCAGGCTCATGCTCGTACCCTGAGAAGGTCTGAGTTTGTACTTTCGGTGGGTTCAGCCTCCAGTCGAATGCTATCCTAAACTAACAACCAAGCTACTGGTTCCACGATCCACGTAGTTTTATTCGATGTTCTCAGCCATCTCGGCTCCAAATTGGAGCAAGAAGGTGTGAGAGATGGCTTCTTTAGGAAGAGTGCCAAAGAAATCCATCATCTCAACAGCTACGCTACAAATAGTTATCGAGCTTATGGCACATTACTGTCGCTAACTGAGTGGTGTTCTGATTGATCTTTAAGTGACTCCCCACCACTTGAGTTTTAGCCAGCGAAATATGGTCGATGTTTGGGCATGTCTCCCAGCACCACACCAGGCTTTGTTCACTGTAGGTGACCCCACTCATGCTCAGGCGTTCCATGACACTGAGTTCGTTGAACCACGCTGAAGTCAGTTTGAGGGGGCCGGGTATTTCCAGTTCTGGAGAAAAGTCTCCGTGCAGGAGGAGAGGTGGACCCTGCAGAAGTGCGGCGGAGAGCCAAACAGCAGGAACAGGAGGTGCCGGAGTCCTTTGCATGTCACAGTTTGGATTTTTGGGACCAAATCGGGGGAACATGCTCTTCTAAGAAATGCGCTCGGTTGCTTTTTACTGCGATGGTGACATCTTACACTTTGACCTATCCTAGTGAAGAAAAGATCCATCAGGATCTCAGAGATACCAAAGACTGCAATGATTCAAAAAGGTGTTGCTGCTGACTCTGACATGCTCAAGTTAGTCTTCGGACTCAGATGGCACCCTATGTGGTGGGTGCAGTGCTCTTCATCGCCTTGGGGGTTGCTGGACTGGTCACATGGTCCGGGGCACCTGAAACATGGGTTGGGGGAACGGGAGGTAGGCGCTGTATCGAATTGTCCTAGAGTTGCCCAAAGCTAAAAAGAAGAGATGAAGAAAGGAAGGTAAGGCCCTTTTATACAAAGAGGGCCACCTTCCTGTCCTTGTTCATCGTTGCTTTCCTTTAATGTATATGCAACCACTCAAAGTGTGAGTTTAGTGCAAGATTCGGTTGATCAAGGAACCCATGGTTTCAGACAGTCAATTCTGCTCAGGTGGCATCCCAACATCTCCTTCCACCGAGCTCCTGTGAGCAAGCTCGACATGGAGAAGGAGGAGGTGCGGAACGGAAAACACTGTGAAAGCAGATGGGCCAGTGCTTCCCCTCGCTTCAGTCATACCATTTGTGAAACAATGAATATTGAACATTTGGGCAAATAGACGCATAGACTCATAGACGTCTTGAATTTTCACACATTCTTCCACAACGCAAGGCCGGAATCCTCAAGCTCTGTGCGTTTGTAATGGTTTACATCTCTGCCTTGCTGGGCAGTTGTATTTTTACGATGGATTAAAGGGATTGGTAACACAAACACACCCACTGCCATAGCCTCTGAGGTGTTAGCCCACCTCCGAAACCACACCATCTTGCACGTGGGCGGGGTGTGTGGGGGCCAAGCAAGTCAGTCGTTGGTGGAGGGTCAGACAGAGACACGGTGAAGCACCTCCGAAGTTGTGACATCTCCATGTGGTCATGAAGTGGTTCTCTACCCAGGGACAATTGTATCCCTAAAATGGTCTCCACGAGGTCCTACCACTGCGAGTTTGTAGTGTTCGGTCAACCACCGCAATAAACCTCGAAAAAGCAAACCCGGACAAGAGAAACACGGGTGGAGGCATCAAGACTGTGACTACCCACACAGGAAAAGACTAACTCTGGCAATGCCAAGGTCTCCAACTGTTTTGAGAGTCTGGAAGCATCACAATACCACGCTAGAGACTCTCAGGCAAGGCCCTTCTACTGTAATGGGTTCTTTTTCTTCATTTGCCCACATTAGTCACGAAAGCTAGCGAAGCTAGCTGGAGTTACTCTTGCGATAGCAAGGTTTCTTTCGACCGGGTGCAAATCCTAACCCCTGATTTTTCAGGTCGAAGACCCCCCCCC